CGCTGGTTGGCTGCGCGGGCCCTCCCCGGGGGGGGGCGAGAGGCGCCGCCACCGCCCCTCCGCTCTCGGGGACCGCGCGCGGCCAGCCGAAGAGGGACGACGCAGCCCGGGCAGGTAGGCGCGCGGCTCCCGGGGGCGCCTGGGCAGGGGGCCCCCTTTCCAAGAGGGCCCTCGCCTCTGGCTTTGGGGCCAGGCAGGCTCTTCTGCTCCTCGGGAGGAGGGAAAGGGGACCACGGGGCCAGAGGAGGGGAAATTGACCGGATTTCACCGACGAGTCCTTGAATGGAAGCTGGAAGGGGGAGGAAAAACAACATTTGAGACCTGGAAGAACCCAAGATGGGTTCCTCCAAATTCTTTTCTAGTGACCTCGCTTCCCCCCACCCCCAATATTCCTCCCTAAAATCCGCCTTCCTCTTTCTTTCATCAGATTCTGGACCTTCTGGACGGTGGCCCTTTTGGCATTCCCCATATTAACTCCTTCCCTGTGTTCCCCTCCCCCCTTATTTAGCTTAAATTGGAAGCTCCTTGCAGGCAGAGACCTCCCCTGGTTGCCTGCCGAGATTTCTACCTCGCAAATTCGCTTCTTTGCAGCAGCCGCAGATGATTTGCTGGAGGGCGGCATAGCCGGTGCTCTTCCCCGCCTTGGCAAGCTTGCAATGAACGGGTCCGAGAAGCCATCCTTGGCCAATGAAATTCTGGAGCAGTTGCCTCTGGCAGAAAAGGTGAGTTGCTGCCGAATCTAACCCCCCTCCTTTCTAGAAGGCAACCTAGTTGTTTATTTTGAGGCCGGTGGCCTTCGCAAGGTGCTGCCCCCTGTGGAGGACGGCAGGATGGGAAAGTCCCTTGTGGAGGCTGTGCGTGGAGGTCCCTTGTGGTTGGCTGTGCCAACGGAGGCTCGGCTGGTCCCCCAGATCCAGCCCTTGGGAACTGTGGGAACGACGGAGGGATTGCAGCAAACGGACTCGACCGTCTGTTTTTACACAGTTTGCAGAAAACTCGTCTTGCCGGGTGTGTAAAACCAGTGCCAAGCTGGGGGACAGAGGAAATGGGTTCGGAGCGGGAGAGAAAACCTGCCTTTTCCCCCCAAGTCCTCAGCCAACCAACTCAAGCTTAAAGACAAGTCCTGCAGGCTGGGAGTCTCCCTCTTGAGTTTTTCAATTGCTCATTGGGCTGTACCTCCCCCCAAACTGACACCTTCTTCCCCCCTTTTCTTTCCTTCTCCAGGCACTTGTAATTCTGCAAACGGCCAGAGACAGCCAGTTGCCGACCCCAAGCTTTATTCTCACCAAGCCTCTTTTATCGTTGTACTTGAGGCTTCTTTCTTGCGAAGAGCGTTTCTTGGCATCTTGACAGACCTGGGTCCTAACCTTGCCTTCTTTCTGCCCTAGACGGCCGTGTGGGGCACGCTAGGAACGATTCGACCTCACCTGAGTTTCGATGCGGGGAGAGACGCCCAGATCTTCTTCGAGGCCATCAGTGGCGAAGGTAACCCGCCGCCCCTCCCCTCTCGCGGCTGAGGGTCTGCTTTCTGTTCTGCCTCCGTGCAACCGCCCTGCGAGGTGGATTCCCCGGAGAGACGGGAAGCCAGACTCGCAGCAGGCCTTCGAACCCAGGCCACGATCAAAATCCCCCATCGGATCCCCCAAATATCACAGGGCAGGACTGAAGTCTGTGATTGCAGGAGAAGTGGGAGATGAACCCCATAAAACAAAGCAAATGGTTTTAGGCAACCTGTTATAATCTGCCAGAGAAATATGGTTATTGGGGGGATAAATGTATCACCCGCATAAACCTCAGATCACGATGATGATGATGCTATACACCTTTGATATAGACGAATTGCATACGCAGATTTTGACTGTTCCTGGAACAAAGCGAACTCGAGGGGCAGAAAGAGAGTTTGCAAACTCCTGGTCTGGAGGCCTCGTCTGAACCTGGGGTTCCTGGGGTTCCCCAACGGTATCAAATATGGAGTCGTCATTGACCTGCTGACCAACCGAAGCAACGCCCATCGGCAGCAAATTGCTGAAGCGTTCCTCAACTTCACCCAACAGGTGAGGTGGGGAGGGGGGGTGATTAGTGGCCCCTCCTGGAAGGGGAAAAGGGGCCAAGTGGTTATTCCGGGTTGGGCTACTGCAGTGGGCTAGTGCGTGAGCAGCTCTTGAAGACTGCCCAGATCCTTTTTTTGGGGTGGTGCCACCGGATGATGGATTGCGCTGAAACAGATTCTGCTGAAGGTCCTGCTCCGCTGGGTCTTCTCTACGGCCTCTTTCTCCGCAGGACTTGCTGAAAATGCTGGGGGCCGTGGTGTCCGGCCAGCTTGAGACCGTTATCACAGGGCTGCTCCGTCCGGCGACGCAGTACGATGCCCACGAGATCAAGGCGGGTCTGCAGGTACCCCCTCCAAACGGGGCACCCCATTTCTGCCAGCGAAGAATCCCCCATTCTTAACACGACGTATGAATGGGGCAGGTTATACATCCTGATTTTAAAATGAGAAGGGGGTGAATTGGCTGGAAAACAGGGCTTCCCAGGAAACTTTCATAAACCTAACCATTTTTTAAAAAAATCTTCTTTTAAAAAAAGTTTGGGGGGAGTTAGGATTATTTTTAAAAATCCTCAGCCATTTTTAAGGGCATTGTCCACGCAGCTTGCAAAGACAGAGCCACGCTTTAGACCAGCACCATCGTAATAAACACAAGGAAGATTAGTGGTCGTACTTAAATCCAACCCATTTAAAAATCCTTCACTTTGTCCAGATCACAAATCCTGCCCCCAAATGGACAGGGACCCCCTGCAACGTTTCCTAAGGCGACTCTATTTTCTCCATAGGGTCTGGAGACGGAAACCCTGATTGAGATTGCCTCCACTCGAACAGCTCAACAGCTCCAGGAAATCTCGGATTATTATAAGCAGGGTAAAAAAAATAAATGAAATATACCCTTGTGTTCTTAAAAAGTGGAGAAATAGGAGGGTGAGGTTGGGGAATAAAGTTGCTAGGGTGTTTTTTAAAGCACGTTACTCTTGAGATGCTTAGGAATCTCTCTCTCCTGCACTATGGAGCCCCCTTGTGCAAGAGTAGTCTATCTCAGAGCATTTTCTCGGGAAGGAAAACAAGAGGGTGCTCTTCCTGGGAGCATTGCTGGCTAATGGGCGGCTGAAACTCTGTCCTTCTCTCTTCCTCCACCTTATGCAGATTTCAAATCAGACTTGGAAATGGATATTGCTTCCGGAACCACGGGCAGCTTTAAAGACCTTCTCGTAGCCTTGATCAAGGTAAAAAAAAGGGGGGGGTCCCTCCCATAAGAACCACAGAGGCCAAGACATTTGGGGCGACTTCACGAAATCCAGAGCAGAGGGCTTTACTCTCCCGGCGGCTTATCCTTTTCGCTCCAAAACGCTCGTCCAAACCAGCGCATGGCGTCGCTTGGGAAAAGAGCAACCAAGGTTTTGCAGCAGCCTCCTTCCTCAGCTGACTTTTCCACGTCTGGCCCTCTCCGCAGGGGAAGCGGGAATGCTATTCCGGGGTCATCGATTACGTCTTGATACAGCAAGATTCAGAGGTGAGACGGGAAAGCGGCGGGCCGACAAGTGCTTTAAAAATCCGACCGTCGCTAAACGCGAGCTTCGTTTGGGTTCTTCTCCGCGCGGGAAGGAGCGAGCCTCTGCGGTGCCGGATCGGTGCTCCACGGGCCTTTTGGGGAATGCCCCAAAAAAGGGGGAGAAGGGGACTGGAAGAATATAGGAAGAAGTTTGCTGCGCGGGGCATTTCTGCTAAAACAGCATAATAAGCAGCTGTGCAAATGCAGACGGTGCAAACGAACCAGAGGTAGGGAGGAAATGCATTCCAGCCGGGTGAGGATGAACGAGGGTGGCGCTTTGCGCGTGATCAGAAGTCCTTAGCACCTTCTGGGGCTGAGGCCTGGAGAAAGCTAGTCCGATTAGAAGGTGGGGTTTTTTGCTCATTACGGAGATTATCCCAGATACGAGGAGGGACGGCTGTCAAAGCCGGTTTCACATTCAAAAGGGTTTTTAGTTTCCCTCCGGAGGGAAAGGCCGTTTAAGTGCAAACGGTGCGTTTATCGTAGTCGCCTATTGCTCTGTCTCGCTTTCCTGGAAAACCCTTTCGAGTGGGGAAAACAAAGAGGGGCGCCTCCCGTGGGGGTCCCCTCTGCGCTGGGATGGGGCCAGGAGGGCCCGGATCCCCCTGGCACCCATTTCCAGCGCCCCACGAAACGCCTCTGCTGCTGCTTCTCCCCCAGGCCCTGGCCGACGCCGCTGCCGGTGGGGACGCGGGACGGCTGGAGAGCGAGTGGATCCGGATCTTGACCCAGCGCAGCCCGGAACATTTGAAGAGAGGCAAGGCCCTCCCTGCTCGCCGCGCCCGTGCGGAGGGAGGGAGCCCAGCGGCCGGGTGTTGCCACCTTGGCATCCGCCACGCTTGCTAACGTGGCCGTGGCTCAGCTCCCCGCAGGCTCCGAAAAGGGAAGGGGCCCCGGAGGACGGACAGAGAGTGGCCGTGGCTTCTCTTTGCGAGTGGCCGGGCTGGCTGTCTCCTAGTCCCGTCTCACGGCGGAGAGACCGGGCAAGAGGCTTCCCGCTGCAACCCTGGCCGAGTCCCTGAAGGGAGGGCGCCTCGTTCCCCGTTTCAAAGCTAAAGGAAACCTGGCAGGTCCTTGGCGGGTCTTCTGCCAACGATTTGAAAAACGTGACGTTTTTCCTTGCCCTCCTCCCAGTGTTCAGCTGGTACCACAAGATGACGGGAACCCCGGTTGAGGAAACCATGGAGAAGCATTTCCAGGGCCACTTCCGGGAAGCGGGTTTAACGCTGGGTAGGTGCAACCGAGACGCGGGGGGGGTGACATCCCGCTCTGCAAAGGGTGACTCTGGAGTTGGAGAGGCCGGCGAACCCTCCCTTTTAAGTCTGGATTAAACCGGGGAGGGGGCACGAGGCTAGTTCCAGCAGTGCTTTCTGCACACGCTCAGGAGCCCTCTCCCCCTCAGCTATTTCTTGTTTCCCGGAGTGAAACAAGATCTGAGAACCTTAGCTCTTGGAGTTGCCTTTAAAAAGCCAAGTCGCTAGTCCTCTTGAGGCTGTTTTAGTGTACGTCAGCAGGCCCTTAGGAAAGCTTATCTCTGAGTTACCGAGGGCTGAAAGGCAGTTTAAATATACTGTTTCCTCCTCCTCCTCCTCCTCCTCCTGCAAACTAGCTAAGCAAGGTACAATTAGCATAAATCACACATTAACTCTGCATGCTGAGGAGCAAGTTTTGAGCCGGCTCTGCTCTGCTTGACCGCCCTTCCTCCCCCTCTCGACCGGTGTGTGCTTTAACAGGCAGAAGCCCAACCTGTGCAGCTCTGTTCCCTGCTGCATTTCAGCCTGGAAACGAGGAGGGGGCAGAGTTGCTCTGAGTGAGGAAAAGGCGGAGTAAATGTTTGAAAAATCTCTGTTGCAGCTTCTCTCCTGAGAAACGCCCCGCTGTACTTTGCCACAAAGCTCTACCAAGCCATTAAGGTGAGGGTCCCTTTGGGACAAGCACGGTGCCCACCTCTTTCAAAACCCCGCCGTCCGCTAGCCCCACGAGGGCTGCCCCCAACCCGCAGACGTCCCCCACCTTCGGGTTCCCGCTCGCCGGCCTCCGGGTCCTAATCGCCACAGGCGACCAGCCGAGTGGCTCCAGAAGGCCTCCTCCGGTGGGCAAGGGGCCCTGCCGCCCTGCCATCCTTAAAAAGAGCCTCCCCCCAATGAAAGCCCACCAACCTTCTGCTCCAGGGAAAGAGAAGAGCAGGCATGGAGTTTGTAGTCCTTTTTGCGGAATTGGACTGAGGACAGTTGGGGGACGCGTGCTGAAAGTGCCCCCTTGGCTTGGAGGGCAACCAGGGGGCAACTTGGGCCCTGCCTTGCCCGCAGAGGTGCAGAAGGGCAGGACGTGGGTTGCCCCCCAGCCTTTTGAAAGGGCATTTTCTCTTCCACCCCCCGACAAGGACGCAGGACGCAGCCCCCGGACCGCGGCTCGAATCATGATCTCCCGCAGCGAAACGGACCTTCTCAGCATCCGCACCGAGTTCAAGAGGCGCTACGGGATCTCGCTCTACTCCTTCATTGGGGTAAAGCCCCGGGGAGTATTGGGTGGCAAGGGGATGGCACGGGCCCAAAGGGGCAACCTGCAGGCCCCTGGGGGCCAAGAGACCGTGGGAAGGACTCCTACCCAGCCGACCTGGTGCCCCCTCAAATTTATTCTCACAACATTCTTACGAGGTAGGCTGACCTCAAGTCAGCTTTTTGGTCAAGTTGGGGGTCCCCCCAGCCCAACTTTAAGGGCCTTGTACATTCCCTATTTAACCACGCTCCCCAGGAACAGAACCTCCATTCACAGGAGCAGTGTATCTACGAGTTAGAGCTTGGGGCAAGCAGAGGCGGGAAGGAAGTACCGCTTCCCACCGCAAAAGTATCTGGAAGATATGGGCGGGCGTGACGGGCGGGCTTAAGGGTTGGGAAAATCCAAAAGTCTCCCTGGGAACGAAGCGCCCCATCTTTCTTGGACCGCACCCTTTATTTTCAGGCGGGTTTGCCCCAAATTCTCTTCCTTGCCCCCCAGGAGGAAACGAAAGGCGATTACCAGGCAGCCTTGCTTGGCCTGTGCAAGGCAGAAGATCTGTAAAGGACGTTCCCTGCCGAGGATCCTCCCCATCCAGAGGCAGTCTACCTTCCAGCAAAGTTGGCCTGATCAAAAGAAGGGCAGAGATTTGAAAGGAGACCCAGAAAGGCAGCTGCGGAATTCAGGCTGACCGGTTGGACGAGTTTCCGCCTCTCTCCCAGCCCTGCATCCTTCTGAAACTTTCCAGTGGCCCTCGGGGTGGGGGGGGTTAGAGAGACCTGCACATTTTGCCAGCCTACATTATTTAAACGAGACTTGCCATCAAAGTTTAGAAGGGGGGAATAATAGTAAACAGCGAAGACATATAGAGCTTCCAGCATCAGGCGCAATCTACCTCTGAATAGCAGCTGCCGGGAAACGCTTATGGGCTTCTCACGGGGGACCCCGTTGGCCGGTTTGGGAAATAGGATGCTTAAGCAGATATATAGGGTTTAGGATATTTATAGAAAAAGCCTTAATTGTACATCCCACCCCTCCAGCCCCACTTCCTTCCTGGCTGCTCCTCCAGCCCCATTTCCCCCCTTTCTCCTATCATCTCCTTCCGCAAGGGGTCCCAACCAATCAGGGACCAAAGCATGCCTATGGGGGGATCCCAACCAACCAGGGATCAAAGCACGCCCATCTCCTTCCTCAAGGGATCCCAACGAATCACGCCCGTGCAACCGTGCCGGTGTGCCAAAATACTCTTCCTCTTTTTCCCAAACCCTGGTCCTCCACTCCCCTGGAGCTTAACATTGCCTGTAGAAGAATGAATAAATCAAAATAAAATCTCCATCCAACCCCCGAGCTCGGAGAGCACCAAGGACTCCACGAATCCAGTCTCTTCCGGATAAATCTCTACGCAGGCTAAAGGGGTGGATTCTCCGGAGGCAAAAAGCTAACGCCCGCCTCTGACCCAGAAGTACTGCTTTATTCCAATGTAAACATAGGCAGGTTTAATTGATTAATCGACTCAAAACGGATGATTAAGCGATTTAGGATTTAGTTCAGTCGTAGCCCTCAAACCGGGAAAAAAAAAAAGAGAGAACTCGTTCGGACTCCACCCGGAGATGTTTCTGCATCGCTCCGACTGCCCTCGAGAAGGCAAAAAAATAGGGTTTAAACCCCCACGGGCGGCTCGTCCCAGCTTTGGGCAACGGACTCCATCTTTCCCACGCCGTGAAAGCTGCACCGGTTGGAGCACTCCTGCGGCAGCTTTGGAAACCGTCCCCTCATCCGTGCGCACGGGCCTTTCGGGGACTCTGCTTCGGCAATGACCCACAGCCGGAGCCCCACGAGAGGAGCGACCCCTCTCGTCCCAAAGGCTCACTCAGTGTCTCCCACGGAAGGGGCCTTCCCCCTCCACCATTAATAGCATCAAAGAGATGGGAAACTCCCGCGGGGGGCCTCCGTAAAATGGCCCAGCCTCCGTGGGGAGACAAGCGCCCACATCCTCTTCC